TTCCTTGACTTCTTCATATAAGTTAAAGTTCTTCTTTCACATGCCTTCTTAAAAAATCATAGTTTGCATTTACCTTTGAAATGCTCTAATGGGACATAAATGAGAAAAATTTGTGTGACATACTACTAAAGGAAAGGAAGAAAAATCAAAACATAGCTGAAATGAAGACATTAGAATAATAACTTAAGGGTCCTGGATGTTAAAGACATGTTGACTTCTAAGTTTTTTGAAAGAGGGTATAGCAATAACTTTATTGAAAATGAAATAGGCAAAACCATAATAACTACCTGTTTCATTGCAAAAATCACAAAGTTATTTCCTCTGCAAGCTGTAAATAAAAGGAGTCAAAATATGTAAGTGTGTGTATAGGTGAAAGTTAGATTGATTTCACTTTTGAAGCAAAGGGTAAGTAGAAGTAATGAGGTTAATTAGCAAATCGGAGAGATTCTTCTGATGGCCTAAGCAGGAAAGAAGCAGCTACCATCACTTTTTAATTAGAAATGAAAATTTAGATTATTTATCAATATTTTTCAGATGGTTTAAAAAGGATGTATTTGCTAATTCCAAAACTGAATTTATGGTAGGGATTCACATCAAATCTATTTTATGATCTCCAGGAAGGTTTCCACGTAGAATTCTTTTGCACCAAAATGCTTCCATAAGCTAATTTGTAATGTTGCTGCTTCATTCTTGTGCTTCCATGTTCCTAATTTATTAATGTGCAGAAATATAACATAAGATACACTTAAAGTATTTTTAGAAATGCATAGTAATTATTTATGCAGTAAGTTATAATCATGAATTACTAAACATGAGCTATTAAATCTTAATATGTTGGTACTACAGTATACTAGGAAGATCATACATACTGTTATTTTATCTCATGTACTTCTGTTAGAGAAGAAAAGACATTAATGTCACCATTTTTAGAATTGCTCAAAATTAAATTAGGGTTTGAGTTTGTATAGCTCTTTCTCTCTAATCTGAATTGACACAGTAGTCCTATAGTGTTTTGTTTTGTTTATTTTTTTCCAAAAATATCTCAAGCAGTAGCACCTTGGTACAGTACCAATGAACAGCTTCTAAAAACAAATTATTCTTTCACTAATAGGAGATGATTACTGATTAGTTTGGAGTTGACCTTTAGACAATGCAGAAATTATTTTTCCATTCCCTTTTTTGGTCTCTATAATGCAGAAAGTAAATTTTTAAGTTTTTAATGTCATTTTTTTTGAAGTGAGCAAACCAGTCACTCGATTTGAACATGTGTGGGGGAAAAAGCTGAAGATAGTGCCTAAAATTACGTCTATGGGTTCTATATGAATATTACTAATTCTCTTATATGTTTATCTCCATTACCATGAAAAGTTTCATCATACCAACTAAGTTAAAACAAATTAAAAAAAAACACTTAATTTTAAAATCCTTTATCAATATGTTGACATTTTTAGGTTAATGGGGATTTTAAAAATATAGATCATAAACTACACTTTTAATTTAGAGTCTTTTGTAAATTTGTTTGACAGGAAGTTAAGGGTATTTCCATTATCTGCACTTGATCAATACAGTTTCCTGATTATTTTCATTTCAACGTAATTGTTATCACACAAATTTATTTTTGTCATTGTAATTATTTTAGCATAGCAATTTATTAGTTTTAGTATTTTTGACTTTAGTAGAGTGGAACCAAAGGGACACTCAAAAAAAACTAAGGGAAATCAAATCTATTTCTCCTTCACAAAATTTAGATTTCTCCATAAATATCATCAGTTAAGAACATGGGCTGTGCAACAATCCAACAGTCTGTGAATCAGCTAAACATGAGGTCTATTAGCTAGTGTCCTGATAAAGTAACAAGAAATAGACCTCAAAAAGAAAAGAAAAAAAAAGTTCAAGAGTAAAATATTATGAAAACATTATTTTACTAGGAAATAATTATTGTTTTGTTTCATTGGCATAACTTTTACTTGCAGCTACCGAAATAATGTGCTATGTATGTACAGGATGTCTGTTTGGTGAAAATTTACTTTACAGAAAATCAGATAAACATCAGAAATATTCGGATAAGGAGGTCATGGATGGCACAGGTTGTTAAAATAGAGTCAACCAAAGGTGCTAAAAAAAACAAGAAAAACTTTAAAATTATTAATTTATCAATAGCTACACAAGGGAATACATGGGGGGAAAAGTCAAGTTCAGGAATTCAACCCTTGCTAGTGTAAGATGGACTAAATGAATACATGTTAGATTATACACACATTTCTTTTGAAATGTATACATAATTAGTTCCTTTACCATTTTGTTTTATTATAGTCACATAAAACTTGGGGAACAATCTCTTTCTGTAAAAGTCTTTGGGATCTTAAGTTTTTCTGAAAGCACATCAATTATGATGTATTCAAATTCGAGAATCTCATCCTTTCATCTTGATGCAAGAGTGTGGTAGTAACTGACAGTACGTAATGGCCTTCTGCACCAGTTTGTGTATTCAAGTGATTTT